GGCGAGCGTGCTGGCGGTGCTGGTCATATATGCCGACCAGCTGCGGACGGTCGAGGTGTGGCTGGAGACGGGGGAGCTTGACGGCGAGCTTCTGCCGTGGGAGGGAGAGGGCTCCGAGGAGCATCTTGTGCAGAGGTGGGCGGACGGCTCGAGGCGCGCGGCGTGGGAGAGGAGGGAGCTGGGCTGGGGCGGTGCCGTGAAGAAGATGAGCGGGTATTACTGGTGGCGGAGGGACCCGAGGTTGGCGTTTAGGAGGCCGCGCGGTGTGAAGCTGGGAGGGTTGTAGATGTGCGAGACGTGGTGTTGACAAGTTCAACAGGTCGAGCGGCGTGTGATGGCAGGCGTTTTCGTCCACGTACTTGATAGGCATATTTCGACCCAGACGCAACATGAAGCTTTCCAGACTGTGCGTGGTAGGAGTGCTTTTTTTTGATACAAATGCTAGTTGTACAGTCTTTATGCCATGTCCTACGCCTCCTCAACGTGCCCGTCCTTCTGCTTAAACGTCACTTCCTGCGCATTCCTCCTCTTGCCCACCCTCCCCATGCGCTCCAGCCCATCCATCCACGGCCGCAGCACCTCGGGGATGGCCACGGTGCCCGTCTCCTCGTCCCAGCCGTTCTCCAACAGCGCCGCCATGACACGCGGCACCGCCAGCGCCGTCCCGTTGCACGTCCACGGGAAGCTGATCTTGCCGTCGACCCGCGTGCGCGTCGCTAGCCGCCTCGTCTGGTAGTCCGTACACGTGCTGGCCGACGTCAGCTCGCCCCAGCCGCTGTTGATGGACTGTCTGCTGGGGAACCAGGCCTCCATGTCTACTTTGCGCGTGGCCGAGGCACCCAGGTCTGCAGTCGGCATGGACAAGACGCGGCAGTAGAGCCCCAGTGACTGCAGAATCTCCGTCTGGATGTCGAGCATCTCCTCGAACACGTCCTGCGCCTCGTCCTCGCCGGGGCTCGTCCACGCAAACATTTCCACCTTGGTGAATTCGTGCACGCGGTAGAGGCCCTTGGTGTCGGCGCCGCGAGCGCCTGCTTCGGCGCGGTAGCACCGAGACACGGCGACGCGCTTCATGGGCAGATCCTCCGGGTCCAAGGTGGTGTTGGCCTTCATCCCGGCGAGGGAGATTTCAGATGTCCCGGCGAGGCACATTTCGGGCACGCCGCGGTCCGCATCGGCCTTGGATTGCGCAATGGCGTAGACCTGCTGTTCGCCGTGCTGGTCGCGTGGCTGGAAACCACACGCCGCTCCGATGTGGCTGTATACCATTGTCGGCGGCGAAACCTGAGTCCAGCCGTACTTGGTGGCGACGGCGAGCGCATACTGCACGAGGGCTTGTTCGAGTTGAGCGGCCTCGCCGACGAGGTAATACCATCCCCAGCCGGAAGCTGTGGCCGCGCCTGCGAAGTCGAACAGTCCCAGCTCCGAGCCGACATGCACGTGTGACCGCCAGACTTTGTTCTCGGGCGAGTTGTCAAAAGCCGTCGGCGGGTCGTTGATGTAGCTCAGGAGAACAGCCTCGTCTCCGCGAGGAGTGTCGGGGCTCGTTAGATTCGGAATCTCCAACGCGAGCGCTTCCATCTCGGCAACGGCCTCAGCCTCGCCCTTCTCGATGACGGCCAGTTCACCCTTCAGCTTCCTCGCCTCGTCCTGTACTTGCTCCCTGCCCATCTCCCGAATATCCTCGACATCATCATCCCCGCTGCTCGTCGCCGGATTCGCGAGGAATTTCCGCAGCAAATTTGACCTCTCGCGGAGTGCGCGCCCCTGTCGTTGCAAGACCTGCCATTCGGAATGCAGCTCCAGGATCCTGGCGGGGTATGTTGCTTGATTTTTGTAGTTTCGCTCCAGGCATGTGAGCTCATATAGCTCTGGGTTTTGACGAATGTGCTTGATGTCGATGATGGGCTTTGGCGCTATAGGGGGCCGCTTGTTGTCTGCAAATGTGCGCGCAGAGACGGCTCGCGTTTGTAGCTTGAGACCCCGACAGCGTAGACATGTCAGTGCTCGATTCATCGTCTTGGAGTGGTGATGCTATGAGCTTGAGCTCATGCTCATGCAACTCCGACGAGGGTGTGAGTGAGCTTGAGTTGAGGTGAAGCTCTCTGCAGCTTTTGGGGGTGTGGGGTCGGTCTAATAATGCAATTGGCCGAAATGGGGGACGCCAGCATTCAGTGTACGTACCAGACACAGACAGTAGACTTGAATAACTGCCAGACTACACTCAACTGGGCAAGCGGATAGACTTGTCAAAAGTTAGAACATGCCTGTTCATTTATGAAAGCAGGCTTGTCGAATACATGCTCATGTACATTTCATGCGTCTAAATCAAGTGGTATCTTCTGAATGCACACCAACTCCTCTTCGCCTCACCTCGCCTCATGTCACCTCACATCCATCACCTTTACTACAAGGCACCCCAAACGCCGAGGGTCCAGTTTGTGTGATGGCCTCCAGTTCCTCTGATGGTTCCCATACTTTGCCGCTGCTGGTTCTTGAAATCAACATCACACGGACGAGATGCTCCGTTTGCGCCTTGCTGCAACCACAGCTCCCTATCTATGGTGGCCAAGGCTGGAATTTTCAACTGACACATCAAGCTGGCACCCGCCCAGGCTCCCAGCGAGTGAATAGCTCGCAGCCGGCCCTGGACCTGGGGCCGTATCGGCCTGTTGCGCGTGATCTTGGCCTCGACTTGGTCTTCTTGGGAATCTGTCGTTCCCGATTCCGACCGCAACCCATCAGAATCGTCACCGCCGGACTCTGACGTCCCAACAGAGGAGATGCTTGACCTTTGGAGGCTAGCCTTGCGTTGGGCTCTGCGGCCGTTTCGCAAGGCCTCGACGCTTTGGCCAAACACAGGCTCCCAACCCCTTCGTTCAACAATGCTCGTAATCTCGTCCACAATTCTCTCCTTTACACCTAGAATATTCGAACAGCCCCCAGTGAAAATGATTCGAGACATGCAGACTGCCCTGACGTCAAGAGGCAGCTGAAGCAGGTGCTGATATACAAGCAGGTGGAGGGGCAGTTCGTGGTCATCAAAGGTGGTCCGAGCTGCTGAAGGGTCGAAAAAGGAATCATCGCAGACATCGGCAAGCTTGTTGAAGGGTATGTGGATAGTTGAGGGAGGGTTTGTTGATCGAAGTGGCACTTCGGCTATACCGCTCGGTTGATTTGACTCTCCTTCATTTTCGTCCTGCTCCTCCACCGTGTCCAACTGCGTAGACTGTCTCTGAGATGACTTGAAGGCCGAGGGTCGACACCACATGAGCCGACACAATATGTCCTCGCATTCTTCAAAAGCCACGGCTCTGTCTTCTGATTCGTCGTCTCCTGCAGAAGGGATCAAGGCATGAAGCAGTTTGTATAGCGCATCATTAAGACTCCTGCCACCCCTGACAGTCCTCGAGCTTTTCACTTCCCTGTATTCGTAAACACTGGTTACGGCAGTTTCGTTCCAGCCCATGTCCACTATCAATGCTGACCGTACGCCGGCTCCCACAGTTACCATTGTGGGAGTCGACATGAGAGAGATGATTGGGGTTTGGAAGTTGGTGAACAAGGTGTCTAATACAGAAGATAGAAGAGGAAGTGGAACAGCCGAATCCAGGACAAGACCAAGTCGTCTCGGCCTAGAGTCAATGAGCAGAAACCTAGACACACACAATGAGCACTTGTTCAATCGTCATGTCATCACTGCACGCTACCTTGTAAATGCTTCTCGCAACAGTCGGTCAAGCTTGTCTCGAAACAAGCCCAAGTCGACATCGCGCACGTCATAACGCCATATTTCGTGATCGGCGGCCCATTTCCTCGAAGGACCCGAAGCCGGTTCCTGCCAGGCTCGAAAATCACCAACTCGCCGTTGCTGTCCTGGTCCACATGCCAGGCAGGCTTTAGGCAAGGAGTCGCCTGCAAAGCCAGCTCGAATATAACGCGAACCAATCTCAAGAAGTACAAAATCGTCTTCTGCACGGATCGTTGATGGCGACCCAAATGAGGATGTGACGGTCCTTGGCGGGGTGTGAGGCGTTGATGTACTGGCCGGCGCTTGTGATGTCCCTGATCTTATCGTGGCCACGCTCCTGTGCGCGAGCGTAGTGCTTGCGCCAGAAGACATGGCTGGGGATGCAGGTCAATTTTTAAGAGTGAATTCGAATTCGGCTCGGTGCTGTAAGACGACCAAGCTCGTCACCAAAGGCGTGGACCAACCAGCGCCGGCTCAGACGATATGCACTTAGTGAATGCGGTACCTACATAAGCGGGCTGCAGTGACGGACCAGTTGACCCCTGATCAAATGCTTCCTGTCGCCTGTGTGGCTTCTGGGGTGGGCCCACAAAGTCAACAACGGCAGGCGTCGCTGAGGCGACGTGGGGCATTTGCTTCATCAATCACCGCGACCCCCGATTCTCCAACTGCAGCCTCGCAATCAAGTGCCAATTTTGGGAACAATGCCGACCTGGAATGGGCATCAAAGGGTACATAATACCCCCCAATCCTATATTCCTGCGCATAGCTAACTGGCTGAAGTATTTACAAAGAGCTCGGTCCGGGCAAGCGGATCTCGCTCTCCAAGCTTGCCGCTGACAGCTTGGAGTCCGCAAACCGACCGTATCGCATGGCTATTGACTTTGCAATATGGCACTTCCAGACACAGGCTGCACAAGGTCTGCACACCCGCCTCGCTACATATAGTCTGGCATAGCCATGATTTATCATGCTGACCTATCCAGGTGGTACCAATCCGGCATTGAGGACTCTGTTCTATCGCCTAGTTCGACTCCTCGGGACCCCAATACAACCAATCTTTGTGTTTGATGGGTCAAATAAGCCCATATTTAAACGAAACAAACGATCAGGACGAGGCGACGGCGCTACAACGGCAGCGGCGAAGCACCTGATACGATTGTTCGGATTTCCTATCCATGATGCCCCCGGCGAAGGAGAAGCGGAATGCGCCCTCCTCCAGCGACACGGGATAGTTGATGCTGTTCTCAGCGAAGACGTCGATACCATAATGTTTGGATGCACAAAAACCCTCCGTAATTGGTCTTCCGAAGGGAAAACTTCCACAGCACCAACCCATGTTTCTCTATACGACGTTGAGGACATGGCGTTGGGAGACCTAGGTCTTGATCGTGAAGGCATGGTGTTAGTTGCATTAATGAGCGGCGGTGACTATCTTCCGGACGGAGTACCCGGATGTGGTGTAAAAGTAGCCTGTGAGGCGGCCAAAGCTGGCTTTGGAAAATCAGTTTGCCGTCTAAAGGTATCCGATAAAGACGGTATACAAGCATGGCGGAATTCTCTACGACATGAGTTACAAACCAACGAAAAAGGCTATTTCAGAACGAAGCACAAGGCGTTAACGATACCAGAAGACTTCCCCAACATCGAAGTCCTGCGCTACTACACCCACCCAATAGTGTCTTCCGAATCCAGTATTGAGGCTATTCGTCAAACAATGGAGCAAAAGCACGTATTTCATCTAACCGCATTGCGCGAGTTTACGCGAGAGAATTTCGACTGGGACTACCGTATAGGGGCTGTCAAGTTTGTCCGAGTTCTAGGACAGGCAATGCTTGTTCGCGACTTGGCCAATTCCCAAATTGCCGCCCAGCATGTTAAACGCATTTCTGGGCGACGAACACACTTTAGCACAGATGGCACACCCGAACTACGCTTGGCTTTTATCCCTGAAGAAGTTGTCCCCATTGATTTGGCAAAAGAAGTTGACGAAACTGTCAATCCTGGCCGAACGGGATTGGCGTTGAACAGCGACGATGAGTTCGACACTCCTGAGGGCGTCCCCACCATTAACGCTCCAAAACTGTTTGACATTTCCAAACCCGATCTCGCCTGGGTGCTGGAAGGTTTGGTGAAAAATTCTGCCTCCGACGTTTTCCAAGAATGGCAATTGAAAGAACAGGCCAAGGCTGTCCGACGATCTCCTACAAAGACAAAGAAAAAAGCCGGTATAACCAAAGCTCTCAAAGGCTCCGATATGCCTCGAGGCTCACTTGACAAGTATGTCACAGCCACAAAGGCAGCTCTTGCCAGCAGCCAAGGTTCTTCCAAAGCTCTTGAGCCAAGTTCATCACTCCACAAGAGCCTTGCGCGTCCCAAAGCCACGCCAAGCATAAGTAAGCAATCCTCGTCCTCGCCTACGAGGAGTCCGAAAACAACGGCAACCATTGAGGTAATCGACAGCTCACCAGTCATGCCTAGATCCCCCAGGAGGCAACCAGACGCGATCTATATTTCATCAAGTCCCCCAGCGCCGGCATCCCGTTCTCCTCCTGCATCTCCTTCCCCGTCAGGTTCAGTTTATAGTACGGCTTCCAAACTCCCACAGTCTCAAGAGGTTCCCGAATCAATACGCTCGATTCTTCAGGCGAGCCATTGCTCTAAGAGCCTGAAAAATCCACTACAACGGCAAAGACAACATCAGGAGCCTAAAACAAACAGCTTGACGTTGAAACAGTCTTCTATGGAACTGTTTCTCAGTAAATCCAAGAGGAAAGCCACCGAAAAGCGAGTAATACTGATAAACAAGGAAGGGGAAGGGGAAGGGGGAACAAATTCCGACTCGGACCTGGAATCAATATCAGCGCCAGCACGGTCTCCCTCACCTATTCAGCCTGTCTTAAATCAGGAGACGGCTGCAGTTGGTCAGGGGGCGTCGTGTTCGAGGGGACCGGGGCCATCACCCAAGAAGAAGCTTTCTAGGGCAAGGCCTTCAGGTTCCGGCTTTTTCGAGGAAGTCGAATTGGATGAAGATGAGCGCAATGCGGAATTAAATACAAAGTTGAGCAGAAAGGGAGCCGCCGTTCGGTGGAGTGATGTATCAATCATTGATTTGACAGCCACTGATAAATAGCGAGCATAAGGCATCGGTTTATACTTGTATAATCATATTCATGGGGATCATGTACGATAATGTGAGAGAATATAAGCTGGAGACCATGTGGCCCTATACGGCCCATATTTCTACTTCTTTTACTGCATAATGCATGCTTCTGCGTGGCGGTACTGGATTCCCGGCTTTTGCGGTTAAACCATTCCGGTAGAAGAGGGTGTATCCAGCGTGTGCAGTCTTCTTGTTTTGCTGAGTGGATTTACCAAGACACGACGGCGCAGAGAGGCGTCTATTACATACTCTCTCGCATCGGCGGTCAGAGCCCCTTTGTATTTGCCGCTTGGCAGTTCGCACATGCGTGTTTGATGCTACAGTATGACAGTTGCTTCAGGAAGTCAATGGTTGGCCTCTGCCAATGATTTGTTTGTAGTCGCCATTGTGGTGAATGCAAATATGATAACGCCCGTTAGCTATTATGGCGCACCGGCTGTCCAGACTCTCTAGTGTTGAATTCTAAGAAGGGGGGAGGAGCGCGCCTACACGTTGACTTGTTATACCTGGTATCTCATCAGTGAGGGTGTCAGGTGGCTGGCATTATGTGAAATACATCTTACCACCGAGACGAGATGGTCTTGAGCCAGCTCCTCAGTCTGCCTGGTAGGCCGACGAGGCGAAATGGCCACCTACCTGATTATCTCGTACTATGGGCCAAGAATGGGCGGGGACGGCTGGTATTCTGTCATGTCATGTCATGTCATATGCTAAAGTTGGTGTCTGGCAATGTCGAGGGCACGAGGCCGGAGGTGAATGACGAGATAGACGAGAGGTCCCCACGCGGGTTCACGGCTTGTCCTTTCTTGTATCATGTAGACAATTCGTCAATGTGTATGTACTATTTTGTCTTGACCCCGTTCTTCCTGTAGAATACATTGCACGCCCGACATGCCGCGATGCACCGATATCCCATATTTTCCAAACACAGTAGCCCAACGCTATGCACACGTCACTACGCCAAGTGATGCAGAACCTACGGTATGCTATTCAGTTTTATGCAGAATGACCACCAACCGCCTCATCAGCCTTCACCCATGACCAGATCGGGGTCGACCTCGGTCCCCAGATCCCTCTCCTCGAGGAACCTCCGGCCGACCAGCTCCCCGGGGAGATAGGTCTGACGAACCCTGCCGTCGCGGTAGTTCGGAGGATACTTGTACTCGGCGCCGTATCCCATGTCCCGCATAAGTCGGGTGGGCGCGTTCCGCAGATGCAGCGGCACGGGGAGACTGGCCACGCCCGGCTCGCGCAACGCCGCGTACGCACTATTCAGGGCCCGGTACGCACGCGTGCTCTTTGGAGCGAGACACAGCGCAATGGCGCAATGGGCCAGCGGGATCCTAGCCTCCGGCATGCCGATTTGCTGCGTGGCAGTGTACGCCGCCGTCGCCAGGGGCAGGAGGGTGTTGTCTGCCAGGCCGACGTCTTCCGAGGCGATGACAACCATGCGGCGGGCGATGAAGAGGGGGTCTTCGCCAGACTGCAGCATTCTCGCCAAGTAATACAGTGCTGCGTCGGCGTCGTTGCCCCGCACCGACTTGTGAAAGGCCGAGATGGAATCGTAGTGCTGGTCGCCTCCCCTGTCGTACACGAGCGTCTTGGTCAGCGACGACTTGATGTCTTCCTTGGTGATGCCCTCGCGCGTGGTCAGCGACAGCGCCACCTCCAGCAGGTTCAGTGCTGTCCTCGCATCTCCGTCGCTGAACCTGGCCAGGTAGCCCATCATTTCGTCGTCTATCAGCGGCGTCGGCGGGTACACCACTTCCTCGGCCTCTCTGGCTCTCTTCAGAATACCCGTAATGTCTTGTTCGGTGAGCGACCGGAGCGTAAACGTGCGGCACCGGGACAGCAGCGCATTGGCGACTTTGAAGGACGGGTTTTCCGTCGTCGCCCCTATCAGTGTGACCGTCCCCGCCTCGACGGGCTTGAGAAACACATCTTGCTGCGCCTTGTTGAAGCGATGTATCTCGTCGCAGAATATGATTGTCCTGCGGCCCGTGAGAGTCAGTTCGTTGGCGGCTTCTTGGAAGAGCTTCTTGCATTCGGACACGCCCGTGCTCGTGGCGTTGAGCTCGATGAAGCGACTCCCGACCATGTGGGCTATACATCTCGCGATGGTGGTCTTGCCAGTGCCCGACGCACCCCAGAGTATCATGGACGGGACGCGATTTGTCTCTATGAGGCCTCGTAATACGCCGTTGGGCCCTACAAGATCCTGCCCGCACACGTCGTCGAGCGTCGTGGGCCGCATCCTCTCGGCCAGGGGGGCTGAGCGTTGCGTCTTGGCCCTCTTTGCAGCTTGCCCGTCTTCTTCCTGTCCGTTCACCACGCCATTTCCTTTGGCCTTCTGGTCGACAGCCGAGAGGCCGGAACCCTCGTTCCCGGCACCGGGTCCCTCATCGAAGCTACGCTTCTTCCCAATGATGGGTGGGAACGTCCCATTCACAAGAGGGGCCAATGCCTTGCCATCGGAGTGTATTCGTTTCGGTGCGGGCGTTGAAAAGAAACTCGACGCACTGCGCTTCTGCTGGGAGGGCGTATGAGAAGTTCCGTTTTGCTGCGACGTAGGTGGCGAGGGGTCCTTGTCGGCGATGAAGCTTGTGCAGCCAGAGTCGATGTGGCTATTGATTTCGGACGATTTGACGGGTTTGTTGCATATGGGACAGTCGACTGCCATGGTCCATTGGCTCTGGTTCGAGCGGTATGAGCTGAGGTAGCGCTAGTATGTTTGGTGGAAATGGTCGGGTGTAGTTGGTTTGAACTTGGCAGATTTATTTGGCAAAAAGCGCGAAGACGCGAATCGCACATGCGAGTTTAAGTGATGTGACGCGCTGTCTGGTGGCCTGGTGGTGCACATGTGCTCAGCTACAAGGGTATTAGCGGGGCCAGGGGTGTCAATTGGGGGCAGCTGGGGTAATGTATGCAACCAGACGTCAAGCAAGACTGGAGGAGGCACAATCCCATTAATGTTATTATTTTTATCAACTCTTTTTTTTCTTTACTTGATATTTCTGATGTGGATGCTCATGCAGTAGCCATGACCATTAGCCATCTCACCATCTAGTACGAGTCTCCTAACCCGTACCATCCCACCACCACAGCTGACAACTCGACTTCATATCATTGTGTGGTCAGCTTCCATGTGCCGAGGCATGCAGGTACGCAAAGCCTCAACGTTGCACAGCAAATGAGATAAAATGAGCTGAATTTCCAAAGTTGGAGTCTGTAAGAGTATTACTACCCACCGCCTCTCGCTGGTCAACCCATGTATCACTGCCGCCTCCCAAACGTATGTTTGTTAGCCCTATCAAGTTAAAACTTGTTGCATAAAACTCCATCAAGTACACCCAAAACGCCGTATCTCATGCATGCAAGTCATACTATATAGCCTCCTCCATGCAACTGATCACTTGATGGCCTCACTATTCCCGTAACACTGCCTCCTGCCCCAAGATTCTATCTATATACACAATTCGCTGGCTTTACATTGACGTCTTCAAAGTCCGAATCTTCGGCGACGAAATGGCGTTTTCGGCCTTCCTCTTGCCCAAAACAGGCTCGGGTGTTCGCCGGGAGGGACCAGGAGTGCCTTCACGGTCTCTCGTGGCTTCAGCGTGGCACGACGCATGGTACGCTCGGTTGCCCACGAGGACAGCGTCCAGCCAAACCCATTCTTGCGCCGTGTCGAGCCACTTGTTTTCGAACCTCTCTTGGCAGATTGGGCAAACGTTGTTGATGCCGCTCGCGGGATCCGGCACGGGGATATACTTGGGTCCCTTGTTCGCTTCTGATGCTTGCCCAGCACCGTCGTCGGGTGCCGGAATGTGATCCGAGTCTACTGCCTCGCGAGAGCGAAGCCAATCCTGGATATCGTCTTAGTAACTCCATCGCAACCTCACTCGAGCTATTCCTTCCAACATACCTGATAATCCACGTACCAACTTCGGTGCGTGCCCCTCTTCTCGGCTTCTGTTGTTCTCTGGTGAACACGAAAATGCCAGTCCATGTGAGCCATCTTCTTTCGCTTTCCCTCCTCATCCGTCTTGAATCGTCGTCCACATTGCGAGCAAGGCGGACCGAGATTATCATAGAGAGCAGCAACAGTACTGGGGCGGAATCTAGAGCTTGTTAGATTTCATGTGATGCGAAAATAGGGGGGGGGATTGTACCACTGTAGGAATTACGTACTGTTGTTTTAATGACGTCGAGTCTAGGACGGGGCCATTGAGACCATCAAGTCCCTGTTGGCTGGCTGCTGCCTTTGCCGAAGCCAATATGCTGGAAATGTTCAGAGGTAGTATTGACTGAGACGGCGGCGGCGGAGGAGGAGTGGCGACAACTGGTACACCACTACTTGGAGGTGTAGCAGATGGTATCATGCCTGCTTGACGAAGTTGTTCCAGCAAGGACATCGGATTCTGAGGAGGAGGCTTCGGTGTTTCTGCATGGGTCGGAGGCGGCGATCGGATGGGAGCATTAGGAAATGGGGCCGCAGGAGTGGCATTCTGTGATGCTGCCGCCTGCCTAGCCATGAGTGCTGCCATTGCTCCTGGTCCCAGGAGAGAATCGAGCGTTACTTGAGGCTTCTGCTCAGGCACCGAGGCTGGGACTGGAGTTACAGGCGCAGGATGAGATGGTGGGTGGCCTTGAGGGGGCACATACCCAGGAACTGGCGTCGAGTTCTGGGATGGCGTTGCCTTCATCGTCACGGCAGCAAGTTCAGTTACTTTGTTTTTAATAAGCTCCAGCTGATCAGGTGGCAAACTAGTATTGCGCACAACGCCTTGAAGATCGAGCAGGGCTTTTAGTCTGTTTTGAACACTATTATCATTTGGGTTCTGTGCGAACTCTGCCCTCATGGCAACAATCAAATTCTGAATGTCATTGCTCAACGTTTCTACACTTATTCCAGCCAGTGTCCCCGCCCCTGCAGACCCATATGGTCCGGAGAGGAGCGGTTGGAAGGA